GAGAAGAGAGAAACAGAGAGAAAAAGAAAGAAGAGAGTAAATAGCACAGGGAGAAACAAAGGGAAAATTGGCACTTTGCAAATATCAACCACACAGCCCTCTCAACATACTGCATGTCTTCTATGCGTCCCTGTGATTCACTAGCTAAAAGAGGCCGGACTGTGGGCAAGCTGTGGCGGGGGACAGGGGGTGGCGGGGGTGGTTGAGGGGGAAGTCGTGGGGTTAAGTGTAGGTGGTAGTTGGGAGGAGGACGAGGAGAGGGGGAGGAGGAGGAAGAGAGGGAGGGTGAGGAGAGAAAGGGAGGAGGAGGAGGGAGGGGGAGGAGGAGAGGGAGGAGGGAGGGGAGGGCGGTGGAGGAGGTGAGGAGGGGTGGAGGAGGAGAAGGAAGGTGGAGGAAGAGAAGGGGAGTGATGGAGGGGGGAGAGGAGGGGGGGGGGAAGAGGAGGAGAAGGGGAGAGGGGTTGGAGGAAGAGGCGGCGGCTCATGAGGACAGGAAGAGGTAGAAAAGGGAGGAGTATCAAGGAAGGAGGAGGAAGGCCGTTTAAGAAGAAAATCGAGGGGAAAAGAAGTCGAGAGAAGAGGAAATTCAAGGAGAGGAGAAAGCGGAAGTAGAGGGAAATCGGTCAAGAGGAAGAAGAGAGAAGAAAAAAAAATGGAAGTGGAAGAAAAGAAAAAAAATAAAGGGAAGGAAGAGGGAAAAGAAAAGAAAAAATGAAGGAGAGAGGAGAAATGCGAGATGAAAATCAGATGAAGATAGACGAAGGGAGGAAAAGGGGAAATGAAGGGAAGGAGAAATACGGAATGACAGGAAGGAGAAATACGGAATGGGAAAGAATGAAAGGAAGGAGAAATACGGAATGAAAGGAAGGAGAAATAGGTCAGTAACGATAAGAAAGTTGAAATATAAGAGGCAAGAAAATGACAGATAGGAAGGAATGATCAGTGAAAAGTTAACAAAAGGGATAATGAGAGGAAAATAGATAAAAGGTGGAGTTAGAAGAGGGAGGAACAGGAATAAAAAAGTAAAGTCGGATATGGAGAGAAAATATAACCAGACAAAAAAAAAAAAAAGAATTATGAGGCACGAGAACACAAGAGGAACAAAATACTGAAGAATAGAGAAACAGAACGAAAAAAAGCAAGGAAGGAGGGAGGAGGAACAATGGAGATTCTCGCCAACTAATTACCCTGCCCCACCTCCGCAGTACCTCAAATTACGGCAATTAATTAGCGCGATATTAGAGCGCGGCGGACCGGCCCCGTGAAGGCGAGGAGGGAAGTTACGACGGCGTTGCATCTTCTCGCAAAATCTCGCGAATTCACGCACACACGAACGAATCCACGAACGGCAAGGATTATTAACTGCAGGAACTCTTAACCGGGCGGGGAAGAGGGGGGGGGGGGGGCCGGGGAAGGATCTACGGGAAATTTGCATACGGGAAGTTATTAGGAGAAGGAAGGTCCTCATTTGCATGGGATCCTGGAAGTTGCCGATTGATTCTGCTTATGCGATATAACCCACGATGAAATTGCCTCCGTCAGATGGGGGTATTTCCCTTTGTCAAGCGGTCTCATTTTCTAAAATCAATTTAAGTTATTATTGTCATTATCTGTTGCTGGGTGTGTTTCATGCCGTGTGTTTTGAATCGACTTGATTTTGTTTATCCCAGTTTTTAAGATTTGTTTTTGTCCATGAAGATTATTTTTGTGGGATTCCAGTCGCAAATCCCCACCCGCCCCAGAATCCAGTGTACCGTTTAATGTCTTTCGAATTACATCATTTATTTCGAGAATCACCCGATCTCTCTCTCTCTCTCTCTCTTTCTTTCTCTCTCTCTCTCTCTCTCTCTCTCTCTCTCTCTCTCTCTCTCTCTCTCTCTCTCTCTCTCTCTCTCTCTCTCTCTCTCTCTCTCTCTCTCTCTCTTGTCTGTCTGTCTGTCTCTTTCTCTGTCTGTCTGTTGTCTCTGTCTCTGTCTCTGTTCTCTGTCTCTTCTTCTCTCTCTCTCTCTGTCTGTCTGTCTGTCTGTCTGTCTGTCTTCTGTCTGTCTGTCTCTCTCTCTCTCTCTCTCTCTCTCTCTCTCTCTCTCTCTCTCTCTCCTCTCTCTCTCTCTCTCTCTCTCTCTCTCTTCTCTCTCTCTCTCCCTCTCCCTCTCCCTCTCCCCTCTCCCTCTCCTCTCCCTCTCCCTCTCCCTCTCCCTCTCCCTCTCCTTTGTGTTTATTTCTCTCTCTCTCTCTCTCTCTCTCCCTCTCCCTCTCCTTCTCTCCTTCAATAACAAGTCTCCATCGGTGTTTTGTGGTTGTGAAAATATTGATGTTTGGATGTTGCGAAGTGGCTGTTTGTAATGGAAGCGAAGTTTTTTGTTTTTATGTTTTTTTATTTTATTTTTACTTCGGTTGTGATTCATCCTTTTGTAGGTTCCTTCACACTGTGGCTTTGTGTGACCTGACCATCCGTTGATTTTTTGTTTTAAATATTGAAGGGAATAGGTATCGTGAATATCTGCCCAGAGAAGAGAAAATAAAAGTTGTAATAGTTGATAATATTTATATATGAATACATATTTCATATCTGTTAATTTCTGTGTCATCGGTATATACGTATGTAGACGATTATCGTTCTAAATATTTAAATGTATAGGTAGATAAAGAAAAAACGTCCGCAGAAATATAGAGAAAGCAAGATTTGATAGAGAAATATCGCAAAAACGCCAAAATCCCAGGCTATCCATTACCGTTTTTCTTTTTGTTCTTTTTCTTCATCTTTTTCTTCTTCCCCTCCTTCTTCTCATTCCTCTTCTTCTCCTGCTCATTCCTCTTCTTCTCCTCCTTCCTCTTCTTCTTCTTCTCCTTCTCATTTCTCATTCCTCTTCTTTTCCTCCTCCCCATTCCTCTTCTTATTCTCCTCCTCCTTATTCCTCATCTTCTCGATCCCTGCGCCGGACACCCGACGTCCCTCCCACCACGGTCGAAGGACTCTCCTAAAAGCGGGTCTCGGACTGTGCGGACAAGATACCGTTTTGTCGGACTCGTCTCTCGTATCGCCCTCTTAATGTCCCCGCTACGTGTCGGCGTCTGCAGGCGAGGAAGTGTGTTATTTGGGGACTATTTACATGCTACTTCGAGCGCCATTACACACACTGCGGTTAGAGGAGGTCCGAGATTTCGTCTGGCTGTCATTCCCGCTCGCTTTTCCTCCTCCTCTTCCTCTATTTCCTGTCGTCGTTTCCTTTTTCAGATGCTCGTTTCCTTTTCATGTCGTCTTGTTTATTTAGTGCTCGTGTGGTGGTTCTTACACGACTATATATACTAAATGATACCTATCTATGCATTTGGCCAATTATATTCATATCTATATCTATCTGTCTGCATTTATATACTATATTTATGGAGATAAGATGGTCTTATACATATATAATTTAGCATTAACAAGAATTAGAATTTAAATCCTAAACAGAATTAAAAGGAAAAAAAGTATAAAAACACAACACAAAACACGAAAGGTGAATTAAGCAACAAATAACAAGCTTGAGTCTTCTCTCTCCAGTCAGTTTCCTTACGCAGTCTTGAGAGACGGACCGGAACCACGCCATGGTGCGAGGTCAGATAAGGTCGCCCCCGAAAGGTCACCGGGATGGGTGGGAGATATTTGTGCCCGCCCGATCAGACAAAGAGGGGATTATTTATATATTCTCTCTGTCTCTGTCTGTCCGTCTGCTTTCTCTCTCTCTCTCTCTCTCTCTCTCTCTCTCTCTCTCTCTCTCTCTCTCTCTCTCTCTCTCTCTCTCTCTCTCTCTCTCTCTCTCTCTCTCTCTCTCTCTCTCTCTCCTCTCTCTCTCTCTCTCTCTCTCTCTCTCTCTCTCTCTCTCTCTCTCTCTCTCTCTCTCTCTTCTCTCTCTCTCTCTCTCTCTGTCCGTCTGCTTTCCTTTCTCTTTCTCTCTTTCTCTCTTTCTCTCTCTCTCTCTCTCTCTCTCTCTCTCTCTCTCTCTCTCTCTCTCTCTCTCTCTCTCCTCTCTCTCTCTCTCTCTCTCTCTCTCTCTCTCCCTCTCTCCCTCTCTCCCTCTCTCCCTCTCTCCCCTCTCTCTCTCTCTCCTCTCTCTCCTCCCTCCTCTCCCTCTCTCCCTCTCTCCTTCTCTCCCTCCTCCCCTCTCTCTCCTGTCTCTCCTCCCTCTCTCTGTCTCTCCCCCTCTCTCTCCCCCCCCCCTCATTCTCCCTCTCTCTCCTCCCTCTCCCTCTCCCTCTCTCTCTCTCTCCTCTCTCTCTCTCTCTCTCTCTCTCTCTCTCTCTCTCTCTCTCTCTCTCTCTCTCTCTCTCTCTCTCTCTCTCTCTCTCACCTCTCTCTCTCCCTCTCTCTCTCTCTCTCTCTCTCTCTCTCTCTCTCTCTCTCTCTCTCTCTCTCTCTCTCTCTCTCTCTCTCTCTCTCTCTCTCTCTCTCTCTCTCTCTCTCTCTCTCTCTCTCTCTCTCTCTCTCTCTCTCTCTCTCTCCTCTCTCTCTCTCCTCTCTCTCTCTCTATCTTCTATCTCTATCTATGTATATATATATATATATATATATTATATATATATATATATATATATATTATATATATATCCCTCCCTCGTCGTTGAAAATTGCCTTTCCCTAGTGTTATTGTGTGAATGAATGTAGGACTGACAGAGACTGGTTAGTAATACATCAATACATCAGTAATGCATCAAGTAGGTAGATAGATAGATAAAGAGATGAAGATGGAGATAAAGACAGATAGAGTTGGTAATGAGATGAATAGATTATCGGAGAGAGGAGAAGGAGGGAAGGAAGGAGAGTGGGAGAGAGGGAGAAAGAGAGAGCGGGAGAGAGAAAGAGAGAGAGAGAAAAGGAAGAGAGAGAGAAGAGAGAGAGAGAGAAAGGAA